CAAACTACGGAAAATAATGTTGATACGGTGCAATGGAGAGCAAACAATGTGTTTGATCATATGGATACTGCTGATATGCAAGTCTAGATTTTTTCTTTCCTCCTCTTATCTCCTTTAAATTGTTAAAGTACTATTTTAAAATATGCAGGGTGCTAGTGACCCAATTCTGAATCATTATTTTAAACTTTTGTTGAGTATTCATAAAGTTGATATTCTGCCCTTGTTTGAACCTCGGGTGAGTGGCTCTGTGGCTGATAATTTTATTCGGCGATCGGGGTTTGATTTCTCTTATAGAATTTAAACGAATAGGTTTTCTGGTGGGATTTGACTTCTTTGGAAAACCTTTGTTCAATTCTCTATTCTTGTTGTTTCTTGTCAATATATCCATGTTTTTTGTTCTTATACGAATGAGGATCAAAGCTTCTTCATCACGTTTGTGTAGGTTAGTCCTCATCGTGGTAAAATAAGCAGTTTATGGAGCCAATTAAGCATCTTGAAACCCAATGTTGGGTGGCCGTGGGTGTTAGGCGGTGATTTCAATGTTATAAGCAGTGTGGACGATTATCAAGGGGGCTCTCAGTGGCACAATTGTGTGTGCAATAAATTCTTTGATTTTTGTTTTAATTCTGGTTTGATCGATATGGGATTTAATGGGCCCAAATTCACGTGGAAACGCAGCAATCTTTTTGAACGGTTGGATAGATGCATTTGTAACTCTAATTAGTATAATTCCTTTGCTTAATCTGAGATTTTTCACTTTGAGAGAATTGAATCGGATCATCGCCTCATTCTTTTAGATATAGGGAATCGAAGGAGGAGCATTCAAACTCGACCCTTTCGGTATATTGAAGCTTGGGTGGATGGTGTAGGTCTTCAGGATAATATTTGTGATTTCCAAACTAATAGTAAGAAACGAGGTATTGAGGTTTTTGGCCATATTGAGAGACGTAAAACTTTACTTCTTACTCGTTTCCGTAGTATTGAGCTTGCTCAACGAGTATCTTGTGGAGCTTGAGGTTGTGTTGAAAAAAGAATTGGATTTGGTGTTAATTCAGGAAGAGAGTCTTTGGCATCAGAAGGCTCGAAACATTTGGATTACGAAAGGGGATAAAAACACAATTGTTCATACTTTTACGATCCCCCGAAGGAAACATTATACGGTGAAGATGCTAAGATTACCGGATGGATCTTGGTGCCATGATGATAATTTGCTTAAAGCCCATGCAGTTTCTTTCTTTTTAAAGCTTTTCACTAGTGAAAGAGACACTGGCTATTATATGTTTACTGATTGTAATTTTCCAGCGATTAGGGAGGATGAAATATGCTCTTTCGTGGCTGGAATCATGTATGAAGAAGTTCAGTCGCTAAAGAAGTTCAGTCGGTTATCTTCAGTGTAGACCCTTTGAAAGCTCAGGGTGCGGATGGTCTTCTAGAAAAATTAGAGTATTGTGGGTGGTTCTATGGTTAATTTCGTTTAACGATTTTTTGAACAAAGGATTATGGAGGATTGGGAGAATAAAACATTATTGGTCTTAATTTTAAAATTAAGTAATCCTACTTCTGTCAGCCAATTTAGGCCTAATAGTTTATGTAATGTTTTGTACAAGGTTATTACACAGTTGATTGTGAATCGATTGAAGTCATTTCTCCTTACATGGATTTCTTCGATACAAGTGAGTTTTGTTCCTGGTCATCAAATACGGTTAACATTATTTTAGCTCAAGAGGTGATACACTAAATGGCTAAAAAATCTAGAATGAAGGGGTGGATAACTATTAAGGTGGACCTAAAGAAGACGTATGATAGATTGGAATGAGATTACATTGAGGACACTCTTAATGCTATTGACATCCTAAATAAAATTGTTGGGCGTATGATAGATCGGATGGTCTTGACTCAAGTCTTGTGGAATGGTGACTTAACAAAGTCTTTTCACTCTTCTAGAGGCATCCGACAGGGGGCCTTTATTGCCCTACTTGTTTGTTTTATGCATGGAGCGTTTATCTCAAGCGATTGTGTTAGAAATTACGTCAGGACTTTGGAAGAATATTCGACTGTCAAGAAATGGCCCGAGTCTTTCTCATATATTCTTTACAGACGACCTTGTGCTTTTTCCCGAAGCAGATTTAGATCAAGTGGAAGTTGTAAAGGAAGTACTTGATCTTTTCTGTAAGAACTCTGGGCATCATATATGTGTGGTCAAAACGCAGATTTATTTCTCCAAAAATTGCCCGCCGAATAAAAGGGATAATATTGATAAAAGATTTAGTTTCGAAGTGGTCGATGATCTGGGACGTTATCTTGGTGTCCGGTCCCACTCTTACATGGTAGAGTTACCAAGGCCACGTATGGATATTTTTAGAGAAAATGAACCAACAGCTCTCAGGGTGGAAAGCGAAAACTTTATCATTAGCTGGACGTATCATTTTAGTAAAGAGGGTTTTGCAGACAATCCCGATGTATTCCATGCAATCTTCTTGACTTCCGGGAGGATTATGTCAAGAAACTAATTAGACATTTTTGTTTGGGGTGTGACTGATGGGAAGAATGGTGACTCGCTTGTCCGTTGGGATACCATTCAGAAACCTATTGAGGATGGAGTTTTGGGGATGTATGATATACACCACCAAAATCGAGCGTTCTTGATGAAGATTTGATTTCAACTTTTTCCCAACCTAGTAAATTTTGGGTTCAAGCCTTTCGAGCTAAATATAGTTGGGAGGATCCCTTTCCTTTTAATCTTAATACCATAACTGGATTTAGATTGTGGACGAGTTTGAAGTGTATATGGAGTGAGTTTCTCGAAAGCATTTCTTGGAATATCCGCAATGGACGGGATACTGACTTTTGGTACTGCAATCGATTGAATGGTGAAAATCGTCTTGTTTTCTCCTATACAGGCAACGTCTTGTTTATGCAATTGTTGTAACTTGTCGAGCTCTGCGGATTGTATTATTTGTTGTGAAGGTGCTGAAAATGCCGACCACGTTCTGCGTCACTGTACAATGGCGAGGAAGGTTTGGTCTAAGGTAATTCGTCTGAGTCAGAAATGCCATTTGTGAATTGGTTTGAAAGGATTCTATTTTCGAAGGTTTCTTTGCCATTGATGGGGAGAATTGGTTCATTAAATTTGTTGGCAGTTATGGAAGCATCGATGCGGCTTAATCTTTGATCTCAACTATATTCAAAAGGAGGATTTGATCTCAGCTTAACCTGCCATTAAATTTAGGTGAAGTCACATGAAGAGGAAAACCGGGTTATAAATTTTCCCATAAAAAAAATAATAGCGAATGTTAATCCATGTTCAATAATTCATATTTTTTTAAAAGAAAAAAGCAACTAGTGATTTTATTTTCATTAAAATAATGTGTAGATTAAAATCCATTATGGAATCCAATTTAAAGGTTTGACACATATTTTTAATTGTTGGTTAACCGTTTATCGAAACTCGTAACTATAACTTTAATTGTTAATTAATATTTTTAATAATTAATTAACTTATTAAATATAACGATTATATCGATTAATGGTTACGATTAACACGGTTTTAGTGGTAAGTGCGGCTCACGTTCACCCTTTTACAAAATCAAAATTTTCAATCATGAGGAACATGAAAACGCCAAAACTAAATGAATACATCAGACCACGAAGTCGGAACATAAAAGCAAAATTTTTAGAGATGCAGTTCAAGCCAAGACTTATGAATTCATGCACTTCAACTCGTTGAAAAAGACTGGTACGCAACTAAACCCACTCTTTTATTTTTTCCTAGTGGGGAGAGAAGTAAGAGGTGGTCTTTCCTCAAGCGTTGCTCCAACTTCTGCCAGTAATAGCAACGCCAGACATTGCTCCCACGTAATACGGTTCCACCCATTTCTTCCACCGGCAGAACAGCCTTATCAATTCATGTATCTTGTCAAAATCGTTTTTACAATTTTATAAATTTGCATACATTAGAATTTCAGTTCACGCTAATTTTGGGACGGCGTCGTGTTATATCGTATTTGTTGTTGTTTTTCAGTGACAGAAGGAACAGAAGGTAGGTTCATGATGAAACACACATTCCACAAAATCCGGAAGACCTTAACACATTACAGGTTTCTAAATAGGATTATATAATGCATCTACGATCACTAATTTTCATAACACATTGAGCGGTCATCATAAACTAGTGGTAAAGATGAACAATAAATATTCTCGCAATTAAAACATAGATTAGAAATTTAGAATGCAGTATGATATTGATATAGTCTTCGTTCCGCACAAACACAACCTCTGCAAGCATCTGCTCTCAATCTAGGCCCTGGAGTTTCTGCTTTGGCGGACTCTTTCTAGTTGGTGGCCTTGGATTTCTCCATTGCTCTCGGAGCTGTACACACGGAAAATACAGTTAATTGTAGCCTGACACTTCGGTCATCAACAATTTATTGGTCAAACAAGCACAAAACATAATTCCAGATAACAAAATAATCTTTGCACATCATATCAAGATTCAAGACATGAGAAAATTCAGTTCAAGTAATACTCCTCCATACCCCACACCCAAAATTTTTGTTGTACCTTGAGATACATGCATGAATATGATGATTGGTACATCTTCCATTCAAAAGAACCCAAGAATTGTTAAATCATGTACAAAACATAAAATTAGACGTGCGCATCATTTCTATTGTAAGACGAACAATAATTCAGATCTACACTCAAATAAATGAACATAAAGATACAGATAAACAAAAGCTGATTACATGTGCATGCATCCCGGTTCCCTCGATGAAGTCAATTTGATCCATTCCAGGAAAATCAAGAAACCAAATATTACTTACCTAATCCAATTGCATCAGCACTCTTCATTATTTTCAAGCTCTTGCAAGTTTCAAAATTAAAGCACGGTTCAGCGAATAAAGGTAACAGAATTTTCAATCTATCAGAAGTAAGAGTTTCATCATAAGTAAATAGGGAAAAGAAAATATTAACTCAACCAGTAAATTTAAGTGACAAAAGCTTACTCCCAAGTAACATCGCCAACAAGCATCCAGTCACCATCTTTATCTTTGTATGTTAGCACATATTCTGATACATGCAAAAGATCCTTCAACTTGCTCTGACTCAATATTTCCTTCCCAGCAGCACCATGAGACCCACATTGACCTGAAATCATAATGCACATGTGGTTAATCAAACCTTTGCCAGACATTTCTTGTCAAGAAGGGTTTGGTTTTATATTGCCACAGGGCTAGGAAAGAATACACAGCATACCAAGGGTAAAACAGCTGAACATCTTCTCAAGAGCAGAAGACAGTTCCCGGTAAGTTGAATAAGTGCTCAAATCAACCTTCCTCAGATAAGGAGCACCGTCCATACTGACCTTGACAAAAAGAGCAGCAGGACCAGGCTCTCCATCAACTTCATCATTGTTCTTCGAAGAAGAGGCCAGGGTTTTAGCCCTAAATGATCTTACTGGTGGCCACCCAACAACCTGTGCCCTGTCAAGGATGGCATATCACAACAACAATCAAATAAAAAAGTTAAGAAATAATGCTTGTTGTAACCGGTTTTTGCATGGGCACGAATTTTTTTACTTGGCGGGAAAAATGATGTGGATCAAAAATGATTTTGATTTAAAAAATATTTTGGGAGTCGCCGTCGATCTTTTTGGGTTAGGTAGGTCGAATAACTAAAAATTATCTCTTAAAAGAGTTTTTAAGAAAACATCAGTTAAAATATAAACTGATATGCGTTTTAGCCAAAAAAATCGTTCTTTTTAATAATAAAAAGGGATTGGTGGTCGATTACGTTTGGGAAAAGATTAGCACCCCACAACGCCCAAAATTGGTACTCATTAATTATAAATTGTCTCTATTATTGAAAATTTAAAAATATATTTAATTCATAATCATGTTATTAATATAATTTTAAGAAAATATATTAATATATATATTTTTATTTTTATAAGTTATTTATTTACTTAGAAATATCAGAAAATGACTTCTAGGTATTTTAAGACATCCCATTTCTTAATATTAAAAAATAAATAAATATTAATAAAATATTTATATAAAAATAAATTAATATATATAATTTATAAAAATAGGATATTTATTTATTTAAGAATATCAGAAAAGGACTTCTATGTGCTTTAAGACATCCCATTTCTTAATATTAAAAAATAAATAAATATTAAAATATGATTTTTTTTCTAAAATTAATTTATATAAAATTAAATTTATAAATAGGATTTTTAAAAATAAATAAATAGATATTATTTATTATATATATTAAATAATAATAATAATTAAATATATTAAATTAAATAAAAACTAAACAGTGACTAAAATAGATAAAATTAAAACTATTGTATTAAAATACATAATATATAAATTAACAGACAAAATGAAAATTATTATTAAAAAATCATTAACAAAAATATAAAATATAAAACCTAAAGATCCTAATTTGAATTATTAAAAAGATATGTACTAATAGTGTAATTTAGCCTTAATATTAATTATTCGGGTTAAAATAAAATTTATTAACATTACCAGGGACTAAATAAAGTATTTACCATAAATATGTAAGTATATTAATAATGACTAAAATATAATAAAGTAAAACTTTAAGGCAAAATTAATATGCTCAGAAATGTATTTTAGTGACTAAAATGAAAGGATTACAAACTATAGGGTATTGCGGACATGGTTTGTCCATGTATGAAATTACACAAAGGCCCTCACAAAAACTACGTCGTTTTGGTGATGGTATTTATACCCCCTTTTAAAACCGGCCTTAAGGCCAAATTTCCATTTTTCTCTTCCTCGTTCTCTCTTTCAAATAGAGAGAAGTATTTTTCTCTGGCTTCTCTCTAGGTTCCCTCACCAGAGGGAATCCAGTCACCAGCCGGCAGCCACAGGGCGCCGTTAGCTACGCCTCCGGCCACCGGAGACGGTGGCCGGATTTTACAAAAAACACCCCCAAATTACAGCTTATATTTTCCTTCATCTAGATCTAAGGTGGGTTTTGCTAAAAACCATCTAGATTTCCCTAAATCTAAACAAAACCGTAGGTATTACCTTCGGTTTTCACGGTGAAACTGACGAGCAGGGTAAGTTTTCTTCTCTTTTCTTTTGATTCGTGGTTGACTGGGATCGTTGGTAGTTTTTCTCTTTGTATATAGTTTGCTATGTCGCTCTTTTTTTGTTTCTTTGCTTGTTGTGTTCTTCGTTTCTCTCTATGGTTCTGTCGTCCCCTTTCTTTGCAAATGTAACGAGGCTTTTATAGCCTCGTAGAGACACTCCTCGGACCGGTCTCATGGGTGAATTCCGGTGAGTCACCGAACTTCCAGTGGTGACTCACCATTGGGGGAAACGTGAGCGGCTGGGGCTCGGCCTTCTGGAGCCTTCGGTTGGCGTCGTGGCAGCAGATGAAGCGTCAACGTGGAGGTGGCGGCTGAACAGAGCCCTAGGGTTATGATACCCTAGGGTTTTGTCTGGATGCATCTTGACCGTTAGATCAAGGCCAGATCCAACGAATGTGAGCAATGGTGGCTGGAACTGAGATGATATAAACCCTAATTGGGTTTAGGGTTAGTTTTAAGCTTGGATCGAGTTGGGCTTGTAAATTGAGCCGGTTTGTAATTGGGTTGGGTGTGATTTGGGCCTGAAATGTAATAATAATAATTTATTATTAATAATAATAATGATAATAATAATAATAATAATAATAATAAACAAATAAAATAAAAAAAATGAAATGAAATGAAAAAAAACTAGTGTCTTTAGCTGCCCCTCTTTGCTCATTCTTATGTTAATGAGAACAGGGCAAAGACGAAAAGACAATAAGTTTTTTTCATTTGGCTTCACTTGATTAGGATGGAAATGTTGAACAAGTTCTTCTTCTTTGGGGTTAGTTCTTCTCATTATGAACTTTTCCATTTTTCCACTGGGGATGACAATTTATCTTCTTCTGTGATGTAATCTAGTAAAAAGTTAAACAAATTCTTCTCATTATGAACTTATTCTTCTTTTTTAGATGAGTTCTTCTCATTTTGAACTTCTTCTGGAAATGTTGATGTTGATCTATCTCCTTCTATGATAGTATTAAGCAAAAGGTTGAACAAATTCTTCTTCCTCTTCATATGAGTTCTTCTCATTATGAACTCTTCCTGAAATGTTGATACTAATCTATCTCATTCTGTGATAGAGTCTAGCAAAAGGTTGAACAAGTTCTTCTCATTATGAACTTCTTCTTTCTCTCTAGATGAGTTCTTCTCATTATGAACTCTACCTGGCAATGTTGATCCATCGAATGATGAATTTGAGCAAAAGGTTGAACACGTTCTTCTCATTATGAACTTCTTATTCCTTCTTCAGATGAGTTCTTCTCATTATAAACCCTACCTGGTAATGATGATCCATCGAATGATGAATTCGAGCAAAAGGTTGAACAAGTTCTTCTCATTATGAACTTCTTCTTCCTTCTTCAGATGAGTTCTTCTTATTATGAACCCTACCTGGCAATGTTGATCCATCGAATGATGAATTCGAGCAAAATGTTGAACAAGTTCTTCTCATTATTAACTTCTTCTTCCTTCTTCAGATGAGTTCTTCTCATTATGAACCCTACCTGGCAATGCTGATCCATCGAATGATGAATTCGAGCAAAAGGTTGAACAAGTTCTTCTCATTATGAACTTTTTCTTCCTTCTCCAGATGAGTTCTTCTCATTATGAACTCTACCTTGAAATGCTGATCCATCGAGTGATGGATTCTAATATTTGCTAAAATCTTTAAAATTCCTGTCAAATATTCAACATGGATAAAATGAATGAAAATGCCCCTATTTTGCATATGCCTAAATATGATGCATGAATGTTGACTGTATTTTTTACTTCAAAGTGACAAACTTGGTATTCCTTCACTTGGCCAAAATGTCATTTCAAGCTGGCATTTCTAATTTGGAAAAGCAATCTTTGTGTCTTCTTTGTTTCATGAAAGTCTCAGAAAAAAATGTTTCATTTATGGAACTCTTGTCGTAGTCATAACTATGACCTTGATGCCCCATTTTGTCTTTGATAAAATCGACTTTCTTCATCTGAACTTGTGTGAAAAATCCAATAAAGCTTTCATCTTTAAAAGAGAATCTATCATATTTGAAGAGAGAATCTATCATCTTTGAGGAATGTAGAGGTAGATATGCTAAACTCAACAGAGATTAATTAGGAGATCATCGTCTGTTCTGATTTGACTCTTGAAACACATCACAATGAGGATTTATCCTAATTCCTTTCATGTTTCCACATCTAATCAAATCTTGAATAAGACAACTTGGACCATATCAAGTTGAGATGTTTAACAACAACCTATTGTTCAATCTTAGTTGGCTCCACTAGTTTTTTGTTGTTAAAATTTCAGCTTCCCATCTGTGAAAAAAAATATTCATCATATCTCACTTCTAACCTTGGGGTTGAAGAAGACAGGCTTTATCTTGCATCAATAAATGAAAACCATATGATCACAACATTGGTTCAACACCATAATCACTGGTTCGTAAAATATTTGACAACACATTCATTTTTTTCCTGTGGTTTCTGCTCAGATGTTCGTAAAACATTTGACAACACATTCATCTTTTCCTGTGGCTTTTGCACATATTTCAGGTCAGGGAAGCTCTTTCATAGTATTCAGAACTTTTGTATGATGTCATAAGATCACTTGAGAACAAAACTCAATAGGAATACAAGTGAGATGTTGGTGTGTTTCATGACCAAAACTTGGTCAAATTCACAAAATATGCTAGTGTCGAATTGAATAAGAGATACCAACTGCTTTTGATATCATCTCTGGCAAGGACAAGTGTGATATCAATCACATTTTCTTCCATAATGAGTGTTGTAGGAAGTAGAAACACATCAGCTATAGGAGCTATGTATAGAAGGGAGTTCATAGAATTCTTGCTGATAAACCAAATAGATGAAAACTCAGTTCACCTTGACTGACAATGATAACCCCAATAACAACGGGAATAAGGGTAATATACATAAGTCAAACCTCCCTCTTCAATGTCATCAAGTAAGCAAAATTGATGTGAAAAATGATTTTGTAGCCTCAACAGCATGATTGAAACTAATTGCCAAGAATTTCAAAGAAATATTTCTAATCATGACCAACACACAGAATACAAAATTCAAAGCCGAGATTTTGAGGAACTGAACCCTGGATCGAGTAGTCTGCCTGGGGACCATCTTTATCCATGCAATCGTGATGTATCTTAACAAAGAACATGCTGTCATGTGACACATGGTTAAGAATATTGGGTATTTGAAACCATTATTGCTGAGTAAATATTTGTTCAACAACATGATCCTAATGCAATTGCCTGATGAATGAAGTAATTATGTATAGTCAGCTCGACTGTCACTGCTTTACCATTTTCATTCTTTATTCCTTTCTGTCTCGTTGGAAATATTTGCTCAAGTCAATGATCTTTA